TGTCTGGTTTTTACATTTCTGTCTGTCGGATCAGTAGCACAAATTTAAAAAACTAAGAAAAAAAATTGATTCTTTTAGATGGAGGTACGAGTTTCAGCCACTTTGAAGTGTTCTGCTGTGGCATGGTGATGCAAATCCATCGCCTTGTTTTTGGAAAAGAATGTTATCACCAGTTTAGAAGCTTGTGAGATTCTTTTGGGAGGTGAACTTTGTCGAAAAATGGATTTTGGTGTGTCATCAATGTCACATTTGATCAAGTCTAAAAAGGTGAATCTCATAAAAGCTGTGAAGAAATGACCCGTTTTCACGAAAGACAAAAATAAGAGATTATATTTTGCATAGAAGCATATTCAACCATTACTTTTTTGCATCCTGACATTATTTTCATGGTACTCAAACACACCAAAACTATTTAAAAATGTTCAGTGGTCCACAATATTTCAAACAATATTCACACAATATTTCATTTATTTCATGTCCGTAATGCTGAAACCATAAATACTAAAATGTAAAAATAATTAAATTGCGCACACACACACACACACACACACACACACACACATATATATATATATATATATATATGTATGTGTGTGTGCGTGCAGGCAAATTGTTTAAATTTTATTTAAAATTTTAGTATTTATTGTTATGTATATGGGATTTGCTGTAATAAATTTACAATTGTGAATTTTTTTTAATCTAGATGATTTAGATTTCTGTTACGGGAATGAGATTGTTTCTGCATTACATTAATGAAGAATTATTATTATTATTTTCATTGTGGTAATAAGAATTGGGGGAAGGAATATTTATGCAAAATAGAACTTTTTATTTATTTTGTGGTGAAATATGATCTGGTCATTTCTTCATAAGATTCATCCAGCACTAATATAAATTTTGGATCTAGAATGTAACTGTTACAAAAAAAGCTCAACATTTATCTACGTAATAAATATTTTCACTCATGTTTGCCTCTCAAACTGATCTTAGACGGGTTAGGATTTGTGTGTTTAGACTTGCCTATGTTGAATTTTGAGGTTTGCGTTCATGGTCGGTCTGTCAGTGTGTGTGTGTTTGTGTGTGTGTGACTGTTTTTCATTTTCAGCACCTGTAAAATCATGTGCTCTCATATTATTTCAATGTAAATCACTAATAACAACGGTTCATTACTTGACACCAAGTAAATGTCAGTGTATATTTTCACACATGAGCGCATAAATATAAATGTATGTAAGAGCAAAACGCTTCTTTTTTTTTTTCTTTCTTTTTTTTCTTTATAGTCATTTACCAATTTACAGAATACTTAATTGCCATTTGGACAATGTATTTCCATTGAATGAATTGTGTAATCAAATACGCAAGTTATGAACTTGAGGGATAGATTTAGATTTGGTCTGCATTGTTGCTCACTGCTTTTTGTATAAAGTAATATGATTATTTTTTTCTGACTGGAAAAAAGCCCAAACTAAATGACAATCAGGCATTTTGTACAAAGATAAAGATGTTTTTTGCACAACAAAAGCATGTAGACCTGCTGTGTTGGGCTGAAATACAAAGACACAGTAATGTGAAGTCAGCCAGGAGATCCCTATTTCTTTAAAGATCCATCACCAGCGACAGAATAATTGAGGATAAAGACATTTTTGTCATCCAGGTAAATGTTCTCTTATGGTGTAGTCTTTGTTTTGCGTTTAATTCCAGGGTTTCACCAGCACAGACAATCCTGTGAACATCGTTGTTTGTGTGTGTGTGTGTGTGTGTGTTAAACGTGTGAACCGGTCGTGTGTAATGTAAAAGTTGGCATGAATGTTTTGCAGACCTCCGGTTGCATGTTTTTCTCTTTTGTGCATGCAGAGAGGACGTCTCTTCTGCTCTTCATTTCTGCTATGCTTACAGACGCTCGTCTCCAATCGATTCACATCTGATTCCTCTCTTCCCACCTCCCATTTGCAAACTTTTTTTAAATAAAAAAAAAGTAAACGAGTTCTTCTAGATAGACTTTGTGGTGCATCAAGGGGGAAAAAAGCATCATGAAATGTTTTATGTAGAATGCAGCGGTCGGTGAATTTGTTGATTCTTGAATTATTTTCTTTTTTTATGTCATGTACTGCTTTTTTTTGTCACAGGGCTTTTTTTTCTTTCTTTAAAGTAGATGTACATCTAATCAAATGCCAAATAAATTGTACCATGAAGGACAGCCACGTTTGTTTCAAATCACTTGTTTCAGATGACGACAGTGGGTTTGTGGGGTTAAGATCTCATAATGTCTTATTTGATTCTTTTGAGTGTGATGACTCCTTTGAACGTTTTAATGCCTTCTCAGAGATTTCGCTGTCCGTCCTGGAAATCCATCACTCTTTAATGTCATGTGAGCCAGCAGGGGGATCCCCAATGTAAGGAAGCACTCAGTTCTCTGATGTAAAAGCCATACCTCAAGCCTCCTGGGAATTCTTGATCCCTGAGAGATTAGACATCGGTGAGATTCACAAAAAAAAGGATTTACTTTCACAATTGTGACGAGATGTATTGTTTCATAAGAACTATATTTTATATTCAGTGCCCGCAAAATGTATTTAGACATTAAATACAAAATAAAAAATCAAGTGGCGTCTGAAAAATCATTCATGTAATCATTCTGCTCACCGAGGCAGGTAAGGGGAAACAAATAATTATTTCAATAAATTAAAAAAAATTAATTTATTTCTGTGATGCAAAGCTGAATTTTCAGCTTCATTACTCCAGTCTAAAGTGTTACATGATCCTTCAGAAATCATTCTGAAATCAATGTTAAAAACAGATGTTTCGTAATATTCTTTTGCAAACCACTTTTTCAAGATTTGTTGATAAATAGAAAGTTCAAAAGAACAGCATTTATTTTTATTTTTTTTACATTTTACTGTCACTTTTGATCAATTAAATGCATACAAACTAATATTTATTATTATTAATTACAATAGTATTATTAAACAAGTATAATGTTATTATACTATTATTAAAATACTTTTAGATCATTTAATCTTTTTGTGTGTGTTAGATTCATTTCCCACATTTGATTGATTACTTTTGTTAAACAACTGCATTTGCATTATTCTGTATATAACAAAAGTTAGAAGTAAAAAAGCAAGCAAAAAACTTGCCTGCTTTGTTCAGTGCTTATAGTCAGTGTTCGTTTTCTGGTTCCTCGTTCAACAAATGTTTTTTTTGTGCGAGACTGTGGACGAGTGCAGCGGCACGCTCAAATGAGCACTCAGAGAAAAAAAACCTCCATTCAAGAAGATCACTATTTAAACCCCCGTTTGCTTTGCATTTAGTATTTTTTTGGGGTGCAAGACCAGTGGGAACATTTATTGACTTTAGAAACATGATGTTACTTCTGATGCTGTCCGTGGTTTCATTGGCACACAGTGATGATGGTGAGTGACGAATGATTCATTGATACATTTCCTTTCTGTTGCAGTTCTCCAAGTTATTATTCACTTTTAGTTTTAAGGAACTAAGTTTAATGCCTTTGACTGAAATAAGGGATTTATAAACTCTGGTAAAGATTTTTAACTGTTTAGTTTTCTCTCAGACTTCTGTTATGATGAGGAGCACTGTGGTGAGTTCTTGTTAGAAATAATTCAGAAGGACAAAAGATACTAATTTTGTCAATATTACTACTGTCATGACGTAAACAAGATTAAATTGTTCTTGGTAGATCCATATGCATGGGGAAACATCTACCCCTCTTGCCATCCTCTTCTGGAGAGCCATCACTCTCCCATCAACCTGGACCATCAGCTGATGAAGAACCAATCTTTAAACTGCACCTGGAGGGTTTTAATTTGACTCATAAAGGCCAGTGGTGGCTGACAAACCTGGGTCACTCTGGTAAGTGAATAATGACCTTTAGAAAGACGTTTTGGACACTTTTATCCCAAGCGTCTTCAAAGTGTACCTACATTTTATTGAAGTGTTCCCTGGAAATTGAAAGTTGTAGCTCAACTGGTTCCAATCTGAAACATGTCTCTGTAACGGTATGCAGGTGAGTGGTGGAGGGCTTCCTGGGACTTACCGAACCATCCAGCTGCATTTCCATTGGGGAAGTGAGTCTTCAAATGGTTCTGAGCACACCCTGGACCACCTGAGGCTTCTCGTTGGCCAGATCTCAAAACTGTTCATGATGTCTACATTTTCGTAATGGATGTCCATGTTTGTGCACAGATGCACATAGTCAACATCAAATCCACACACCCAAATTTGACATCTGCGCTTGAAGACACAACTGGCCTTGCTGTGCTTGGAGTCTTCGTTGATGTAAGATACAGTTTTAAGTAATATTTCATCTGTTTGTATTTGATCGATTAATACTCTTCCACAGGTGACATATTTGCACAATGATAACTTCCAGTTCATCTCAAATGCACTTCTTTCTGTCGCCTACAAAGGTTAGATGAGACAATGGTTGAAATGGTCTTCCATTTAAAAAAACAGAATGTGCACAAGTCTAAATATAAATAAATCGAAATCTTTTTCATTTTCTTGTAGGACAAACAAAATCGATCAGACCATTTCCTTTGATGAATCTGTTACCTCAGAACAACCTAACGCAGTATTACCGTTATCACGGCAGCCTCACAACGCCGCCCTGTTCACAGGTGGTTTTGTGGACTGTGTATCAAGTACCCATCTATATCTCATGGGCTCAGGTAAGATGTATATATTCTATACAAGTATGTGAACACAAATGCTTCTAGATATGCTAATTAGAATTATTTATTTATTTGTTTGCACTTCATAAGTTCTCGTTGCACTTTCAGTGTTGTCACTAGGGGGCGCTATAGTGATAGTAGCATAATCTTTTACGGTTATATTATATTATAGCCAAATAAGTTTGTTAAAATTGAATTAAAAAGTCGTCATGTTTATAAATCGCAAAATAAGTAACGTAAGTTTAATAGTGGACATTTGAGGTATGGCGGTTTGTTAAAGCCACAATAACGCCGCACGCAAGGACGCGCTTGCAGTTTGCAAGTTGAGCAGATTGTGTTGTTGTTGTTTGCAGATCTCTAATACATTTGTAAAACAATTGCACAAATTTAAGATGTTTCTAACATTTGTTTTCTTTTGACAGTTCGAGCAGTTTGTAAGCGGGATATATTCCACAGAGGAAGAAGCCGATAAACAAGTCCCCCTGCAGAACAACTACTACGGTCGGCCCGTGTACGCTTCCAAAGATGCAAAACTGCTCACCAATGGAGTTTCCCCTCTTGCCATTTTTAATCTTTTTAATGTTCTTTTATATATTGGATTTTTAAACGTTTAATATTTTGCATATAGCAGAAGGACAGTATTAAACGTCCACTTGAACTGAAACTTCAGTTACTGCCATTTTAAAGACCCCTTCACACCAAGAACGTTAACGTTCTCTTTATTATAAGCATGCTGCAGTTATGTCATCTGCCACTTTAAATGGATTCTGATTGGCTGTCACTGATTGGTTTACCAGCTGGGGGTAAAACACGTTCTGAAAGTGTTGCAATGGTATCATTCCTCATTATCATTACAGGCAGTTGCGGTGTGGATTTACTTATTCTCATAGACTTTAAACGATTATTAAAACAGTGTAATTATTAATTATCTTTACGGTCCGTTCACACCAAGAACGATAACTATATTAGCGTCCACACCAACGCAGGATAAAGTTCTGTTTTAGTTATGTCATCTGTTGCTTTAAATCAAAGTCCCTTTAAGGGTATTCTATCGTCTTTGTTTAAATGCACGAGCTCTTTAAAATCAGGTGGATTCTGATTGGATGTCAATCAGTGAGTCTGAAATCGCGTACCGTCTGAGTTACTACATTTGAATTTGAATTTACTTTACGACCGTTAAAAACGTACTACATCTGCCATGTTGTTACTGTCACATGACCTACGAGCGTCAGTTGCATCGCTTCACTGCCGTTCATAAATCCTCTCCCGTGGCCTCATGGGATAGTACCATAGACTGTATGGATAGTACAGTGGCTTTGTCCAAATACCCACACTTGCAGTCTTTGCACTTGACCACTTGATTACTTAAATGACGTATTTCCTGTATTTGGCCGAAGTCTTCAAGTGGGTGTGAAGACCACAAGTGTGATAAGTAATTATTATAGATAAATAATGTAATATAACAAGAACCATTAAATGTTTAACTATAACATTACTGTAAAACAGTTCTTTTTTTCTTACATAAACTGCGTTATTACGATTTTTTCTGTAAACATTTGCGGTTGTGCTATATATATATATATTATATATATATATATATATATACACATACAATTAATTGTTAAAGAATCTACTCATGTTTTTGTTCAACTGATGACGGAATTATTATTATTATTTTTTTGGTTGAACCATGCGAGTAGAAAACAAACAATAGCCGAGTCCGAACAGTAAAGGGTAACCCTATGAATAGAGCTATGAGTTATGTAAGGCAATTTGAAGGGCAGATGGTGAGAACCCAGTGTGCTTTAGACCTCCTACTGACACAAATATGTGAAGTTATTAATCGTAATTAAACTCACATTTGAAATCCTGCTCCTGCTAACGCTGTACACAGGAACTCACCAAGATAAAACATTCGGATTAATAAACTTCACATAAATGTGAGACATGATTAAAGATTAGTTCCAAGACAAGACGGTTGAAAAAAAAAAATCCTTTATTTTTCCATGATCTTTTTTTCCATACGATTGTGGTATAATAAATAGACAGGGGATAAAGGTCAATTTCACCAATGTCCCTTGCCATTTCTGAATGATAATGCTTTCCCCCCACACTGCAAACAGATTTTCATAGAATTTACAACCAAAAATAAAAAGTAAAGCTTGACACAAGCTGAAAATACTGCCACCAGCTCTCTGTACTCACTGTCAGATAGACCTTTCTGAGCTGTGACGCTGTAGCAAATCCTCAGGAACAAAAATATATATATATATTTATATTTATATATTCACAGTTAGAGTATTTACACATAAGAATCCAAAGGAAAATGGGCAGAAAAAAGACGTTTCTACAAGAAACAATCTTTCAAAAGGAAGTACAAATCTGTTTTATGTACAAGATGCATCATTTTCTTTAAATTAGCTATTCAACCCCTTTTTCATATAATGATCCCTGAAAAATATTCATTTTAAATACTCCATTTGTCGCTCATAAAAGCAGAACGATGCATCATCACTCCCCATCATGATAAAAAAAGTCTCATTCCTTTATACAAACCATTATTATCCTATACAATATAAACATATTTAAAAAGAAAAATCTCAAAAAGAGGGGAGACCTTACCCTGTGAGTGAACTAATGCAAAAGGACACGTTTCATAGCTTGGTCTTATGAGTGCCATTTGGCCTGATAGGAGGTTGGAAGCCTCTAGTGCATTTATAAACATAACCAAATCACAAAGACAAGCACAGTGACCATGCTGCCTTGCAGATCTGAAAGTCTTCTGCTTTCAAAGGGAAATTTGGCTGAATGAGGATGTAATAGCTTTTCAAACTTTTTGATGGTTAAATACTGAGCAAAATGCAGAAGGACCTCAAATGGGTCGCCCGAAGTACCAGTGAACTTAGGTCATTCGTACAAACACACACACATAGGAGGAGACAAATGGAAGAGGGTTTGCCTTTAGAGCCGTGACACATTAAAGTACATATTTGGCACTCTATTCAACTTATACTTGATTTTCTGGGTCCACTGCTGAAGGTTTCAGATCGACGGACCTAATACTCCAGGGTCTGATATCCTAAACATCGGTGCATCTACTTAGACTAGATTTATTAGTTGAATTGGTGCCTGGGCAACCTCTTTGAAAAGCATCAGTGCTGTGCGCCAGTTACCGCACTCACAGAGAACTTCAAATACTATGAAAACCCATGCTGAAATTTCGCCATCTTAAAGTGAACTGGTGGAGAAAATTAGGAACATACGTTTGCAGAATAGCAGCATCATGTTGGTGAGATTCGCTCCATAATAGAAAATTCAGCATTAGTGACTGAATATGCATGAACCCAATTGGACCTCTGCATGTTTATCTGCTGAAATAGTGAGCTGACATGACAAACGCAGAGTTAATACTAAGCTGTACAACTTTAAAGTGGAATCTGATTGAAGACAAGCAGCTTTCGGTCTTTGCACCTTACAAAAGCTAGAGGGCAGCAGACACGTTCAAATCCAAAGATGGCAGAAATGGTTGTAAAAATGCCTTGAATAAATGAAATAAAGTGTAGTGTACTGTTTGATTTGCTTTCATCCTTTAAGGAAGGTCCAGTCAGTAAGTGCCACATGCAGCACTAGGCTGAAATATCGTAGGAGCGTTTCGCTTTGTGTAAATTTGCCTGAGCTGCGGATCTTTTCTACTGATTTGTTTTGTGGCCGGCACAGGTGTGCTTTTGTTGAATGTTCTGCAAACTGAAGACAATTGACCCAATTCCCCCAACAATGGTTAGTGTCACAATAAATGCTAAACCTTGTGGGCATGTTACAGTGAAGTCCAAAAATAAACTAAACTTCATGCAAGTTGGGCTGGGAGAACAAAACTGAATTAAAACTGAATTTTGTGCCCGTGGGACAGACGTGAGCAGCTTAAAGTGTTTGGGGTCCAAGTTCAGGGACGGGGAGGTCTCTCCATAACCAAACTGCAGAACAGAAGGGGACTAACGAGGAGCAGGAGCTCCACGGCAAAGACAAACTGTGCCAAATGGGCAGACAACAAAGTGAGTGCCCAAATATTTGGGGGGAAAATTAAGTCCATTTCCAAAGAGGTCAATGGAAGAGTGGTACAAAACTCATTTTTATGCTTGAAAGAGCACCTGTAATTCGTAAACAATCATGAAAAAGTACAAAAAAGAAGTCCCAGACACTTAGCTGCACGATATATCCAGTGGATGTGTTGGATTTCACCCACTATTTCCTCTGTAGCTCCAGAAGATGGGGCGTCTGGGCTTGTTGATAGGCAGTGCATGTTTTTAAAATAGTTCTCACCTATACGTTGGGGGTTAGTTTAAGGTTCCCCTGCAGTTTTCTGCACCACAGAGGCATGGTATCTTCTCGTCCTCGATGGGGAACTTGTAGTCGTAGGTGATCTCCTCGTTAACATTTATTGGCTGCCGGGAGTAGATGACGATCTTTTTCTGTGACTCCACAGTGATGACCTTGGCATAACAGTTTGGCTGGGAAACACAAAGTAGGACACCATTAATATGGTTTTTGCCTTCAAAATGACCTTCTGTTAAAATGTACATGCAAACTCACATTGCAACTGTGATTGATGAAGCGGGCGAAGTTGCCACATTTGGTTGCATCTATAATGGTATCGTGATCCACACGGAACATGTAGCTACTGCCGATGCCCTTATCCTCATAGCGCTTCTCTCGCATGTCTGCGATAACCTGCAAAGAGATGGGGAAATTACGAACAGACCGGCCAAAAAGCAGTGATGCTGAAAGTTTGGTTAGCTTCACGCTCACCTGTCGTATATTCTGGCCAACGTATTCTATAACCATCTCATCGGCAGCAATAGGTTCCATGGCGAACAATCCCCAGTCATGAATGTGACTTTTACAGAACCGGATTTTCTTTTTACGGAACTGTGTAGAAGTTGTGAATCATTAAGATTTTGACTTGGCTCATAATTTGATTGGTGATGTTTTGCAGGATATGCAAAATATGAATAGCTGGGTTTCGCTTGTCTTACCTTGAGCTGGTTGAACTTGAGGAGGTCACTGTCGCAGCTGAAGGATGACAGCAGGCGGCGCTGTTCAGACCGCCGCTCTGAACCTGCCCTAGTGGACGCTTGGGGCTGTGCTGGAATACTCTTCCCCTGTGAGATATCACACACAAACACAATCAACATCAAAACCTTCAGCAAACCAGCTTAATGAAGTATCGATTGTGAGTAAACTCCAGTATTTTATCACTGCGGCCCACCTGAGTGTCCACATCAGGCTCTTCGGACTGCAGGCGTGAGCTGTTCAAGTACTTCATTTTGTCTTTCTTGTCGATTTTGTAGTAGCCCTCGCTGCGGGCACAGCCGGTGACATGGTCGCGTATACCATCCTCTTTCCGCTTCTTCTTCAGCCCTGATGTGCTGTCCATGTTGGTAGGTTCAGAGGAGTCAAGAAAATACAGCTTTCTTTACATGAACAGATACGTCTCCACATTACAGGTCTGCAAATACTAGCAATTCATTTTAGTGGATGTAATTATTTTTATTATCACAATACTGTCAGCGAGTAAGACGGTCCCAAAAATGTGAACACTGGGGTAGGGCTGCACGATAAATCGCATGCGATATTTAATGCGCATCTGGTTAGTAAAGCCGGTTCTGTAATCAGCGGTAAATCTCCATCACGTGCGTGCTTTCACATGGAGCAGCATTTACTACACAGAGCCGTTGTTCACTGACAAGCTGCGCTAAACCACGATCATATATGAACATGGCTTACCGCAGCTTGTCAGTTTACCGCTAATTACAGAACCGACTTTACTAACAAGACGTGCATTAAATATTGCATGCGATTTATCGTGCAGCCCAACACTGGGGTTCTATTTTTTAACATCAACCAAAGAACTGCAATTCAATTCCGCTATTCCATTTTGAGCCACATGGGGCATAATTTCTTCACACCTAGTGGCACCAAACTAAATTGCAAAAGGAACTAAATGACTCTGCCAAACACTCCCCCAAATCTTCCATTGTTTATTATATAATATAATTCCATTTGCTGCCACTAGGGTCACAGATGTTACCAACAGCCACTTTAATAGGATTTTACACTTAAAAAGACATTATCATTGATAAAAGTTTTTTGTCTGCTAAATTTCACAAATGTGACTGCACCTTAACATTGTAGCAGTAAAGGATATGAGGATGGTGGACCCAGAGGGTGTCATTGAGCCAGTCGTTGCCATTGTCCTGCTGCAGCATCTTGTCATAAGTTATCTTAAGGTAGCAGATGTCCTCCTCATCAATGCCGTCATTCCAGATGTCATATAAGATGGTCATCTCCTCAAATTCTGAGCGGGGTAGGAAGCTGGGGCGGGGCGGTGATATCGCAGGGGAGTGCATGGATAACAACAACTCTTGCCAGCCCCGTCTCTGTCGGCGCGTCTTCTGAATAGGTTCCTCGACGTAAAGCAACCTGTCTTCCACCTCAGGTATGACTGTCTGGGTTCGGTTTTCCTCTTCCTCCAAGACTGTGGAGTCACCATCTTCTCCTTTGAAGGTCTCTGAAGGTTGGTCTGGGTACAGGTCGTTTACCGGTAGATCTGGAGGTAAAGAGTCCACCATTGGAGCTGGAGGCTCTTCAGAATCTGGAGGGGTGGCCACAGGTACCTTTTTAGACTTGGGGCGCCCCGGTTTCCTTTTACTTGAAGTAGCATCTAAGGGCACAGGAACATCTATCATTGGAACAGGTAGGTCTTTTGGAGCAGCAGAAGAGGAAGTCTCTACAGAAGTGGGAGAGGAGCCTTGGGGAGGCAGAGGTGGCTCCTGAAGTGAAGCAGCAGGAAGGGGAGGACCAGGGAATGGGGAAGAAATGGCATTGTTAGGTAGGCTGGCATGAGGAGAGGCGCTGAGTAGAGGCTCTTTAAAGAGAGACTTCTCCTCCAAGCTCTCCGACGAGGCCTTCCTGTGAATGGGAAGGCCTGCAGATAAAGCAGCAGAGTCAGGGAAAGCTGGGGTGAAAGTAAGATCTCTACCCGGAGTTCGAGGGATACCAGCGCTGAGGACAGGGGATTGAGCAGGATAAGAGAAAGGGCTGCCGGGAATATGCGGCGAGCTCAAGCTGTTACCTGTTAGTGGTGTGTCGCTTCCTGGTGTGACAGGAAATGCATCAGTGCTCTGAGACTTGCCCAAACCCCGGGGTCTGTCCATAAGATCTCTCCCTGGTGTGCGTGGGATGTCCTCTTCCGTAGGCAACCGCCCACGGACAGGCATATCCGGCAAAGCTTCAGGAGGTGGCAGAAGGGATCGAGCTTCAAGGGCATGATTGGGGGGAAATGGAAGGTGCATTGAGGGCGTAGGAAGAGAACGAGGGATTGCGGCTTCTGATTCTAAGGAAACTGGGCCATCACGACCAGGGGTTCGGGGAAAGTCTTCTGCAGGGATCTTTGGTCGGGTGTCCTGATCACTGTCTGCAAACGAACCTGTTGGAGTGGGTGGCCGCAAGCTACCGACATCCTCCAGGGTGGCTTCAGCTTTGGACACTGGAACACTGACGGCCAAATCAATGTCGGGTTCATCAGCTGAAAAGAGATGACAACCAATTATGATGTGACTTGAACACAGAATACTCAACTGCTACAGGAACATCAGGATAAAAAAACAGTCAAGACTCTGACCTGGCAATCTTTTGGGTGATGGGGGCCACACGTCTTCAACTCCAGCCTTGATTGAGCTCACCGCAGTATGTTTGTGATCGATCTCTGCCTCATCTAATGCTTCCAGCCTGCCCAACTCATTTGGTTCCTCTCCTGGTGGTGGTCCTGTGGGGGTACTGGGAGCTTTTACGTCAACATCCTCCTCTTCAGAAGATGAGGATGTGGAAGATGAGGACGACGATGAGGTTTGTGCATCGGCTTCATCTTCATCCTCCATACCTTCTACCTGTTCTTCTTCTTCCTCCTCTTCCTCCCCTGAACTCGATTCGTAGTCGGACGAGCTCTCGCTCCCAGAGGAATCAGAATCAGATTTGGAGGAGGAGGATAAGCTAGAAGATTCTGGGGGGGGGGAATAGTGAAGGTCAATACCTCAGGCCAATTACAGTGACCACAAGGGCATAATATTTATCAACCTCAAGCCATTAAACTCATTACCATCATCTGATGAGTCAGATGATTCACTCTCGCTGGAGTCTGATTCGCTCTTCTTTTCATCATCTTCCTCATCCCCCATAACCTAAGAAGGCATGTCTATATTAGGCTCAAATAAGTACATAGTACATATATAGTACATTGTACATAGAGCCTGATACCTACACTTGATTAAGGTTTATTAAGAAATACTGTGGACTGGTGCTCACCGTGCCAGAGGACAACCTCTCAGAGGCATCTTCCACTGGCTCCTCTTCATGATCTGAAGGTGATGACTCCTCTTTGCCAGAAGTTTCCTCCTCCTCCTCGCCTTCGCTGTCCAGCTCCAGGGGTCTGGCTGGCCTTCGCTTGGCAGAAGAACCACCGCCATCCGTTCTGGATCCGTCTGTGCGAAGATCTGTTCTTTCTGATTCTGAGAACCGACCTTACCAAGTTAGTTTACAGAAATGGCATGAGACCATGTAAAGCATTGTCACTTTAAAGCCAACAGTTTTTCAGTTTGAATAAGTGGTCCATGTTTCAGTTTAAAGAACAGAAATCTGATTAACATTAAAGTATGTCAAGCACACACCTTCATCTTCCAGCTCATCATCGACAGGTGTGGATGGTCGCACCCTCTTATTGTCATTGGTAGATGTTGGCTCAGGGGGCTGTTTCCTCTTAACCTGCAAACAAATGAGTAGCAATTGAGAATGAGCAACTTTTAAAGTATAACAGCAAACTAACAAAAACACCTGGTGATAGTTTGGTACCTTGAAGGATGGTAACCGGATGGCACCGCGCAGGCCTATGCTGAGACCTATTCCCTCAAATCCCAGACCTTCAACCTTGTTCCAGTTTTCCAGTAAGCTAGAGGATATGGTCTCTTTGGGTTTGGCCCGTTCTTTTTCCTCATCTTTGCCCTCACCCGTCTTCACAGGTGTAAGTGTAGCCTGCAGGTGCAGAAACATGATGACGACAGATAATTCTGTTAGTATAATTACATGACCTCAGGTTAATAAACTGGGGTTTTCTTTTTGACTAATTGTTCCAAAACTCTTTGGAACATTCAGGTCTGGAATCAGTTAACATTTAATTTAGAGTAAGATAACATTAAGTTAGGGATCATTTTAAGCTGTCCAAGTTTGTCTACTACTATCCGCTCCAAAAGACCAACAGATTAAATATCAATTTATCAACCCATCCCAGGAAGGTTTTAGGAAATGTAATAATACTATTGTATTGACTTGATACAATTATCATATTATTAAAAATATTTGCTTGTCAGAATAAATGTAATAACTGGGTATTTAAAAGTTTAAATTAACATTTTGGAACAGCATCATTATTGAAAGCTAAAACACTGTTTGGATCAAACACAGACATGACACTAATAACATTCTTGAATCAGAGTTGGGTTTGCCGCACTTCATTTTGCATTATGTCAGTGCAGTTCAGAATCATTTAGGATGAATGTACCATGATGTATTCTATTTGGAGTGTTAAACAATAAGCCATTTAAAGGGAAATTATATTTATGAAAGTTACCCATCAACTTGACAGTGATTTTGTATCTGGCACAACTTAAATAGCTTGAAAAGCAAATTTGCTGCATTTGTTATTATTCATTTCGAGAAGTATTTACATATTCAGCAACGAGTATCATGTAACATTTAAAACAGGCCTGGGTTTGTAGAATGGTGCTTACCTTAGCCGAACGCTCCTGTTTGTCCCACCACTCATCAAATGCCCTGAAGGCCACCACCTCCACCATCTTGCGATTGAGATCTCTTTTCATAATGGACTTCAGTTCCTTGACAATAAGCGTAAGCACTGCATCCACAGTGGCTTTGTGTGGGTCCTCCTTTTGGGGCTCATAGCCTGGAGGGGGAACAGCAGGGTTGAACTTGGGCATGTTGGGTAGGTGCCAGGGCTGCCCCTGACCCACAGTGCTTGCAGGCGCACCAACCATAGACAAAGGCGGATACGGGCCCCCAAACTGCATGGCAGCAGCGGCGGCAGCAGCGCTGGCGCTTGCAGCAGCCCCGCTGATGAAGTGAGGGTAAGGGTACGGCTGCTGGCTCTGCGCCATACGACTTAACATCTGAGTCTGCATCTGGAAGGACATGTGAACGCTTCCCCACTGTGGTAAGGAGCTCATCAGGTCCATCTGCATAATGGGCATCATTCCAGGGGGATAAGGGTGCAACGCGTGTAGCATCGGATGGGGGGCCACGCCAGGTGGGCCAGCCAGGTGCGGTACGGTTGGAAGAGGAGGCAGCGGCAGGGGGAAGCCAGCCTGTGGAGGAGGCAGTGGGGGAAACCCTGGCGGGTGCATGGGGATGGTCTGCATTGGAGACATCGCAGAGTTGACCACAATGCTTTCACAATCCCCACTAGCAATCGGTGTGCCAGGCATCTCATCATCGGAAATCTCCATGTCTTCACCTGATGACTGATGGCCCTGTTTTAAAAATAAATAAATAAAATAGCAAACATCTGTTGCATTAGAGCCCAAACTAGTCACTTACAAAGCAAATGCAGAGATAAACACTATCTATTGGCCTGTATTGCCTTTGGCCTTGTGCAACAACGAACAGATCAATTTCTTATTCCCCCCCTCCCCCCCCTTTTTAACTTGATCTAGACATAAAGTTCTAATGAAGTTCTATTGCTCTTAGTGAGCATAATATTGAGTATTTGATCAATTAAGTTACAAGTAAGTGTTATTTTAGTATTATTTACATATTTATTCATATTTTTAATTAGCTTTTATTTTTGGTCATTTTGTTAAATGCTTTTATCATTTTATTTATTTCAATATAATTTATTATGATTTCAGTTTTAGTTTTTGTAAAATAACATTTCATTTAGTTGCAAAGGCAACATTTCTAATTTTCATTTATGTTATTTTAAGTTTAGGTTTGTCATCTAATATTACAGTTTTTTATTTACTTCAGCTTTATTTCAGTAAACACTGTGACAAACACACTACATTTTTTTTAAATAAAGCAAAAGTAGCACTACTTAAGATAAGATGTTTTCTAATAATGAATTAAATAATTGTTTAAAGATCTTAAAACTAGCGTGCAAAATTTGCCAGTGCGTGTGGACCCCTTTTCAATAGAATTGGGATTATGCGGCAGATGAAAATTGTAAATCAGATCACCTAGAAAAGTCTTATCATACCACTTCTCAATAAACTGCATGACTTGTTCACAGCACAAATGATACAGGACTAGTTGTGCATCAAAAAAAATTTTTTTGTCTCCTTAAATCACTAACCCTAAGCAACAGTAATAATATTCTCCTGAAACAATCATTGTAAGATGCTTGAATGTAGGAACCCAAACACTTTCACATATGACACAGCTCTTGTTGAACTATGGTTTTGGAGATTCAATAAGAACAGCACTTTCCTGATGGTCCAGCTTTCAAGCAGGAAGTAAAGCGCAAAAGTGAGCTAATGGCTGTTCATTGTTTCTCGTCTTGAACTACGTGTAAGAGGAAGTGAAAGAGTGTTGCACATAAGCGGCATCCACAGTAGGATAATATTTCATTGGGTTTGCCATACAGAGCTGGAGGCTGTAATGCAAACAAGTTGATTTACAAGAGAGAGCCTCATTATGCACTGAACACGTATGTCCTTACTGCAGACGCCCAATATTCTTGGATTTTCTATGGAACGCAATGCTTAGCCTATTTTTTTTTACTGATTAACATGTAGCACTTCAACTCTTAAACTACCAGGCTAAACTTTCTATTTTTCAACATGCTGCTGAAATGTTACAAACAGTTGAGTTGCAAAATCTCAAGCACACAAGGAAATGACCAGCGATGCCAAGAAGTCCCCTGGCTAGACCTATGGGTTTAAACAAGCCCCACAAAGCATACGGAGATCTAAATGAAATTAAGAAAAAAAAAACATGCTTGGATATTTTGAAGGAAAAAAAATGCTAAAACATGTTTCGGCAGCCAGATTGCACAATTTCTTCTACTGCTAAAATGTGCAACAAAAGGGAAAGTAGAGGGTCTCCTTAAAGTAAGATGAGTGCGGTTGCCTCTTACATTCCTCCTGGGTCCTGTAACCCTCCATACAACAACTCATAATATCATATTTAACACCACATCAGAAGCCTTTGAGAAGTTAAGATACACTATGAACTAATAGCCAATAGTAGCAAACTACACTAAAGAAATTTAGAAGGCAACATCTTTAAAAAAAGTCACTGTATTTATAAATACTATGGTAAAATATCAGACAACATGATTTATTTTTGCAATCTGGCACAAGTCAAAAACATAGCCGCATTTCATTGAACAAGTAAGCAGAACATTTTGCTTCAAAATATTAATTAATTTCAAAAACTGAATAACTGAATCATTGAGGCCTACAAATCAGTTCATTCCATCTGAACAAACTGAATCAATACTTCAAAAAGGGGATAAATTATGCAGCTGTAAAATGAACTAAACTGAATCAACACTGAACTAAATTGAACGGAATAATGACACTATTGTGTTTTTAGAGGTACTAAAATTGTATATAAAGAACTTTGCAACATTTATACTCTTACTTTCTGTTTTATTATCGTGTAGCTTCTTTAAAACAATCTGTATTTTATAAAGCACTATATTAGGCGTGTGCGATATGATGATTTTTGATCGTGGATGATAAAAATATCTCCACGATCTGCTTTTGAAGAAATACCATAGTATCGTGCTATAGTGCATATTCTATCCCCTGCAGTTCTGGCGCCTCCGTCTCAAGATACTGTACAACGCGACATACATTCACATCAGTGTTAACTCGGCGATAGAGTTACTCTTACAGGACGCTGCACTTATTCGCAGTCACAAAAGTACATTATTTGAATCTGCTTTAGAGCCGTTAAACATTTCATTCACACGCTGTTCTGACGTGCACTTTTTCTGAGGGGGTACAGCCGAAGCACGCGCACTAAACATCATGTCAAACAGCTCCTGATTACTGGGCTAAGTTAGCTTTTGCACTAATACGGTCAAAACACACAAAGTTTACATATAGACTAAGTTGATTATGTCTAAAATGAAAGTAAACAGTTGAGAGAATGTCGGATACGTGCCTGTATATTAGATGCGGGCAGGTCTTAAAGGGACAGTACTAAACATGCTGCAGACTGTCATTAAAGGGATGGTTCACCCTAAAATTTAATTTCTGTTGTTATTTACTCACTCACATGTTGTGCCAAAACTGTATTTATTTCTTTATTGTGCTGAACACAAAAAAATATATTTTGAAAAACGTGGGTAACCAAACAGTTGCTGGTCCCCATTAAATTTGATAGTAGGAAAAATATTATGAAAGTCACTGTGGACCAGCAGCTCTTTGTTTTTTCACGTTCTTCACAAATAACATTTATGTTCAGCAGAAGAAAGAAACTCATTCAGGTTTAAAACAACTTTTGAGTGAGTACATGATGGTATTTAAATAAAACACTATGACAGAACTGACAGACAGATTACAGAATTTTTATTTTTGGGTGAACTATTCCTTTATTAATAAAACAACAAAACACACAGAGAAAAATCACTCGCTACTCTTGACCGAAGAACTTTAATACAGTTGCTTTATATATATTATATATAAAATAA